GCTGGGGCAAGTGTTATTCAGGCTCTCCCACTTGCCAATGTCCCTCTGTGCTACATTGTGAGGCGCAGGTAAGTTTTTACTGTATAAACTAATAGAGTTTGTCACCATTACTTCTTCAGCAAACAAATAGGGCAATACTGAGTGAAACAGAGACAATCCAACAATTAAGATAGCCTGTCAGAAACGAGGGTCATCTGGATTCAAAACTGATTTGCATTTATCAGGCCTCAGCCATCTTTTTTCTCCCTTTTCTTCAGCATGTCTCACAATGCTTCCACTACATAGCCCTGACACAGAGCCTGGGTAAAGCTGTATTGCACTCCCAAGGCATGTAGTAACTAGGTAGATCTACCTTGTAAAGATGCAGTTAAAATTCAGGAAAACTAGAAGACACTTTGAACCCAAGCATCACCTCGGTGAATTCACATGAGAGATCTCAGTTCCATTCAGTTGACTCTCAGTCCTTTGTACTAGACCTGTCGCTTCAGCCTCAACTTCTGAATTTTGTTTTCAGTTCCCACCTGAGCCACAAAATTTTCGTGTCTTTGGCTGCTTTGGCACAAAATGGAATCCACAGTCCAAGAAAAGTTCTTTAGCCTTCACTGAAGCATGACTGAAGCATGTGAGTACAACAAGAGGGTATTTTGATGTTCACATTTGTTACAGACATACAAAATCTGTAATGGAGTGATTTTTAAAATTTTTATTATTAAAAAAAAAAAAACAAAAAAAAACCACTGACAAACATATCCTGTCTCACTAGAGTAAAAATGGTTCTTCCAGCAATTCTGGGTTCCTTGACCAAACTCGAAAGAGCTGTTTAAGGGGAAAGAATGTAATGCAAAGGTTAGAAAAACCTGAAGCACTGAAACAAAAACACAGATTCATGGCTCCTGATTTGCTCATTCAGACCATTCTTATTCTGACAGGGAAAGTATTTCCATGTTTGCAGGAAGAGCCAGCAATGGGTTAAGAAAGGGTCAGTGTGAACATGTTGGTCTCAGGGTAGATGGTTTGCACTACAAGGTAGAACATCTATCTCTCTTCTTCCTCTCTGTGTTTTCAGGAAAGGAGGGTTTTAATTTAGAAGACAGTAATCTTCATGTGGGTAAAACAGATGTCCTCAAAGTAGGGGAATTACACACAGTACTATGTAGAGACAACTCAGCTTCCCTGGGAAGATATCATCCTTACTTGTCCCTAGATAAGAAGCACGAAGCCAACAGGACTGTGATCCCTAATCATGGAGAAAAGGTTCTTCCACAATGAACATATTCTCTCCTTCACTACCTACGATCAGCTCATTCAGAAGCAACTGTGAACAAGTTTTCCCTTGTCGCCTTTTTCTTTTTTTTTTTTTTTTTGAGAAAAGAAAATTTCTTCAGTTTCTCCAATACAACTAGAAGACTCTTAATTATTGTTGATCTCCCCTTGAAATTTTAGAATTTTTTCACAACTTCCAAATAGCTCATGGATCACCTATGAAATCACAATGGAAGGAAAACAAGGGATGACTGAGGATTTGACTCTGCTCTCCAGTGTGTGAACAGAATAAAACTTTTAACACTGAATCAGAACCAACTTTGCCATGCAACACTAAGCTGGTTTTCCTGTTGCTTTAGTAGATGAAAGGACTGGTCCTGACCTGATTTAAATTGATGTTCCATTTAATGCTATCCATATGTACACCAAATTGAAATTTTGTCCTGAAGTTTTTACTGCAAAGAGTGAGCCCAATTAAAGGTGAGATGAATTAGCATTTAATTCTGAACTGAACTATCAAAACCGTGGCCAGACGTTAAAACCGTGTTCCCAACAGTAAAGTTTTTGGATCAGACTCTGGTCTCTCTGGCATTAGTGTATAGACATTCTTAATGTGATTTCTGTAGCTGTAATCTAGACATGGATCTGATGTGATTAGTTCTCATATGATGCCTTGAATGAACCCATTTCAGCTCAGCATACATAACTAATCTCATACTATAGATTTCCAGCCATGCATCAAGATCTGATACAGCCTGCTACTGCTTTAAATTCTGCTAAGTCTACTAAAGCCAGAATTTTCTGACACTGTAACCTCCTCAGTTAAAAAAGAAATGCTCTACTGCCTTTTTTAACATTAACTTAACACTTACAGAAGTTTTTCTTATTGTTCTTGACGTCTCTGGCCAAATTTAATTCTATCTGGGCTTTAGCTTGCCTAACCTGATCCCTGTCTGCTCAGACAATTTCTCTGTATTCCTCCCAGGCTACCTGTCCTTGCTTCCACCCTCTGTAGGCCTCATTTTTGCTTTTGAGTGTGTCCAGGAGCTCCTTGTTCATCCATGCAGTCCTCCTGGCTTTTTTGCCTGACTTCTTCATTGTTGGGATGCATTGCTCCTGACCTTGGAGGAGGTGATCCTTGAATACTAACCAGGTTCCTTGGGCCCTTCTCCCCTCCACTGGCTTATCCCATGGAACCCTAACAAGCAGATCCCTGAAGATGCCAAAGTCTGCTCTCCTGAAGTGAGTTTGCTGTGCACCCCCTTTGCTGCCCTAAGGATCCTGAACTCTAGCATTTCATGATCACTGCAGCCAAGGCTGCCCTCGAGCTTCATATTCCCTACGAGGCCCTTCTTGTTGCTAAGGTCAAGGTCCAGCATAACTCTCGTTGGCTCCTCTACCACTTGGAGAAGCAAGTTGTCATTGACACATTCCAGGAACTTCCTGGATTGCATGTGCACCACTGTGTTGTCCCTCCAACAGATATCGAGGTGGCTGAAGTCTACCAGGGCATGAGAATGCGGAGCCACTCCTATCTGTCTATAGCGGTCCTTATCTGCTCTGTCATCCTGGTCAGGTGGCCTGTAGCAGACCACCAGTTTAACGTCACCTGCCCCCATGTTCTCCTTAATCCTGACCCAAAATATGTAAAATATAACAAAGGCAGTGCCTCCAACGAAATTTAGGTATGTTACGCACTAGAAGTCATAAATATCTTAAAGGTGCTAAGGAATACAAACAGATACAGCAAACAAAAAACAAGAGAAATGCAATAATCCTATCTTTAAAAAAAAAGAAGAACTGAAAGAGAAACTAACTCAATGTATCACCAAGAGATATCTGTGGCAAATCCATGCATGGAAACTACCATAATCTTCTTGATTCTCGGTCCAGTCTTTCAAACCCAAAACCATCCTTCCCACAATTTCATTCATAAACTAACTTCTCTGAAGACCTCTGGGTATAGATAAGGTATGACAATACCACAATACTACTACAGCATTAGCATCAGCAGCAGCAAAACAAGAAGAATAACCACAGGAGCCATTAATATATGAGTAGGGTTCTACTATATAACTGCTGAGGTCATCCTGCGGCTTGCTAAAGAAACTGTTTATCTATAGCAATCTTTCAGTCTGTCACATTATAACAGGTCCTCCCATGCATCAACAGGATTTTCTTTTTTTAAAGAAAATACTTTCTCATCTTAAGAGCATCCAGGAGTTCCTTTGCTGCTTATGTGAAACATTCCTGAGCTTCAACATTTTCCATATTCTTTTTCAAATATCCCTGTAATTATAGAGGTTGAATTACATAATGGCATGTCCCCCGGCTTCTTAAACTCTGTATACTTCAGTGACCAAATCACTTGTGTTCACATACAGATTTAGCAATCCTTTAAGATTTCCACAACAGAAGCAAATCTGCCTGCTAAATGCCTTGCAACTTTTGCTTGTCTTAATATTAAATCCAGTGTTCCTTTTCAATTACCAGCGAGTTTTCATATTGTGATCACAAGAATCAGTTAAAAGGGCTAGTACTGCACTAGAGGAAGCTAGCAGAAACATGGCACTTTGCTCATGCATATTCAGGAACCAACCAAGCCACAGTGCTTACGTAGCACTATCTCAGAACTGTCATCACAAAAGTCTGAGGCTGTTTTGGGAACTTACAATTAAAATGCTGGTGGCTAACTGAAGTCCTACTAGAAGATGGCCCAAAAACTTGACAGGACGTTTTGCTACCAACACAAGTAGAGAGCTTGTCTTCACAGAAGGAGGTTTGTTCACAACAGAAGTTTCCTTACTCTGAAATGTAAGTGATTCCTCTTCTTTACATCAAAGCATGCTTTCCTTCACAGGTCTAAAATTTATGCTGATTCATCATGTGATGAAGTAGAAGAAAGGATCTCTTGAGCAGTGAACTATCAGAGATTTTGAAAAAAAATACATCTGTATTAAGAGTTGTATGTATTTCTTTTTTTGCCAACATAGTGATAGCAACATGGCCCTAGTGAGTCAATGCTTGTGTCAACAACAGGGTCATTTTGCTAATAAAATTTAAGCCACTCCCCAAACAAAACAATTTGTCCTACCAAAAAAGACATTTGTTTTTAAATCAATAAAATTACATCTTGCTTAGAGTGCATATCTGTATATCTGTTAGCTGGGGATGTGATTCTTTTTCACAGTCCTTGCCAACTTAGGCATAAAAGTAAAATTTCTCAGCATAAAGCAAGACTGCCTGTTCTAGTAAGAATATGAGAAGATGAAGTGCCCTTACCAGATTCTTACCTGCGAATCTGTTCGTGTCCTCTGACTGACCAGGATTGACTCACTTATTCTTTTTTCAATTAAATACAGTCAAAGCAGAAACAGCAAATCTTTGCAACTGTTTGAAACTGAAATCAACAGTAAACCTTGGCAGGACCACAGTTGATAAAAACGCAATTCCTACAAAATGAGTAATACCCATCATGTCATACAGAGGAAATAAATTCAGAGACATGAAGGAGAAGCATGTGAGCACAGACAAGACAACCAAGAAACTGCAAGCTTACGGATCTGCAATAAGGCAAGGAAAATAGTGCTGACTACTTCATCACCATGACTGTCTTGGTTCAGAGAAGTTTACTGCAAGTTTGCATTACACTGGCATTATACATTAAAATCTCGTATTCAGTTTGCCTTTTCCAAGGAACCAAAGTGAACTACCACAATGTGAACTTTCTGCGCAAAATGGGTGGCTATTTTTCTCAGCAATGTCTCAGCGAAACAACTGATTTTGAATTCCCCGTGGAGATCACCAAGGTCACACAGAATAATGTCAGAATGATCATCTATGAGTTCCTCCAACAGATCTTCCAACTATTTAGCAAAAATCTCCCTGTTGGCACCTGGAATACAAGCCAGATTGAGAAATTCCAAAATGGAATTTATCATCAAATTGAAGAATTAGAGATATGTTTGTCAGAAGAGCAATCAAGAGCAAGAAACAGCTTTCAAACGTGGATCCTAAAAAGCACTACATTCAGCGTGAAAAAGTACTTCCAAATAATCACCAATTTCCTAAAAGATAAGCAGTACAGTCACTGTTCCTGGGAAGCAGTCCGAATGGAATTGAGAACATGCCTTATAATTTTTGACAGGCTTATGAAAAAACACATGTCATAAAGAGGTAACATCTTCCATTTTTTAATTCTTTGTAAGAATCTGGTAATTTTCCCCTTTTTGATAAGTTTTTAATTTCCATATTTTAATAATGTTCCAATTGATAAGTGGGGCTTGTTTTCAAAAAGCATTCAGTGCTCTAAGTTAAACACGTAGAGTACTCAAGTAAAGGGGCATTTGATATCACCGCTTCTGTTGATAACTGGATATTGCTCCTCTGTGTTCTCTTCTTGCACTGTAAAAACATTTTGTGGTCTTCCCACAGAATATGCCAATTGTTTTATGATCTGAAACTCTTGCACTTGGACACTGCATAGATTTTACTTTTGCTTTACTTCACTAATGCAGAAAAAAAGTGCAAGCCGCAGACATGCGTAAGGAAGACAGACCTTCCAGGAGGTCCTGTATGGTACAAAGATCTTAATTTACAAAACAGATGAGAATTTAACATGACTTGGACTTCTTTAAACTCAAAAATAATGATGGGTAGGCCTCCTGAGCTAGAAAAGTAAATTCCCAGCTTTGATCCTTATTTTGCAAGTAGACTCATTTCTATATCTTATGGGGATATAAAACCTATTTTCTATACAGCATATTCAATAACTACGGCATGGATTTTTAGCATATGTTTGTTCACAATGCTATTAAAATATGTATCTCTTCTATCTGCTTTGAGTTCATAAGCAGAGAAGATTAATCTGAAAATATTTACTATATGGACGCAGATGCAAACAAATCTCTTCCACTCCTCTCCCACTTTTCTTCCCATCATACAGACAGAGCCAAGCAGTGCTTCAAGTTATCATCTTCATCGGTTTAACTGCTACTCAAGAGACCTGAAATACCCCGAGTCTCAGTATCACTCCCTATATATTAGAAGACTGGATGAGTTCTGACATGTTTTTTTTCCTACCTTCTATTTCTAAGCATATCTGATTCCTAAAATATGTTTATCATAAATGGAACTGGGGAAGAAAAAGGCAACCTTCTGAAGAGAAAAAATTCAATGTGCTGTTACCATTACCTGAGAATAGAATCTCAACATTTTGCCTGAGAACTTTGAGGCTGGACAGCAGCTTTAGTCCCATGTCTTTCCTTTATTTAAATGGAATATATATGGAATATATATATGAAAATCCCTTCCCGCTTTGGGAAAAAAAAAAGGAAAACTAATTCTGGATGTAGCGATCTCAATGGAATGGTATTATTATTCTTGATGCTGGGAGTGTGACAACAGAATAGTTAAAACTGCCTAATTTTAGGCATCTAAATTAAACATTGAGCTAAGGAGATCAGGCCCACCGACTTCACTCTCACGTGCTCCTATTTTACAGAACCAGAGGGAGGGGACAATGGTTTACAGACTCCTAAATATAAGTCTACTTTCAATCACCAGTGTAAGAGCTCAGTTCTCTAACTGGTTGTATGGGGAGTTTGGCAGAGAGTTCATGTTAAATTCCCCAACCACCTCATTAATCCATCTCTGGAATCTCCATTTTGTTAATTTAAACTCTCTGCAACTATGTTGACACCATAGTCATGTTTGATGGCAGCAAAATATGTTCAAGCACATTTAATTCTGAATATTTTTTTTTTTATTTGCTGCTTTTAATGTATGGTTACTGTGGGGAATTAGTATAGCCCAATTTTGGATACTCAGCTTAAGGAAATGGCGGAACTGAAGCCCAAGAACTTGAGGTTCCCTATGCACAATGCATCACGCAAGATGATATCAAGTTCTATCTATGTACCTATATCTATACTGGACATACTCCTCTTTGCTCAAATTTCAGTCTCTGGAAAGCCAAGAGTCAGCACAGACTTCAGCAGACGTGACTGGACACAACCTTACACTTGCTACTAGATTCCACCAATTCTTCATGGGATTGCAGCGTATTTTGGTTAGGTAGTGACAGCACCATGAGCAGAAGCCCATCCCTGGACAGCGTGGAAACATCTGCTTCCTTTATCTGCTCTTCTGGGGAGGTACCTTCATGAATCTAAAGCAGATATGCCTATTAACTCATGCATGCTTTATTGTCAATTGTGACTCACATTTCAAGATGCAGTAGGTTTTTTTTGAAAGGCAGAAATAGAAAGGTTGTAAAACCATACACTCATTAGGTGATAATTTGGGGTATCCAGGTGGGCTTAACTAACAGGTATCAGCTAAGCATTTACAGGGAACAGGTGTTTTAAGAACATGCTAGCTTTCTGCAAAAAATCTTTGCTTTTACAAGTTAAAGTTAATTATATCTTATAGAAGAAAAAAAAAAGTGATTGTAGACAATACTATTTTCACATTTCCTGTCTGGAATTCAGTGTTAACCCTCAATGAGGATACATATGTAACTTTCCATTCCTGTGGAAAGACTTGCACTGTCTGAGACTGAATATGGTCTTCTACAATTTGAAGTCAAATAACTTTAAATCTTGACCTTTTCCCTTACAGGAAAAAATCTAGACTACTGTGGTTACATGTAACTTTTACAATTAAACTTTTTGTACCTTTTGTAGTTTTTTTATGATTACTGTAACTGGAGACCCAAAGAAACAAAACCACATGTATTTACTGATACCATTGTGGATACACACCACTTCAATGTCTACCTTAACAAGCATTCTATTACCATGTCAGTGGGTACTTCCATACAAGAACAAGGGGGGAAAAAAGACACTAAAATGAGAAAGTAAAAATGGTATTCTAAGATTCTTAGAATTAGTACAGAGATTCAAAGTAACTTAAGATTTAAGAAAAAAATTGACTACATTTCAATATCCCCTACCTGGATAGTTTCTTGACTACTTTCCTGGGTAAAAGAAAAAAAGTGGAAGTCCATATTTTTCAGGGAACCACCATCTGAAATATTCACAGGTAGTGTTTATGCCGTGTTGTACTGGTCAATGAAAGGTTGGATCACTTTGAAATATAGCCAGTTGTAAGATGGAAAAGACAACTGCAGTTCTCCCAAGATTCAGAGCTGGAGTAAGGAATGTATGACCAAAGGGTGAGAAACAAAATGGAACTTCATTTCTTAGAGCCTTCAGCCACACTTCTTTGGTTTCAGCACACTAAGAGTACCAGTCAAGCCTCCCCAAGCTGTTTTAAATGCCTGTTCAGTGCTCCCTCCAGTTCCTGACTTAAGAGACTGCACTCATCTATCTGCTAGCATTTGTTTTGAAGCTTCAGAGCCGCATAATTATGATATATTTTCATTTTTATATATAGCCCCAAACAATAGTAAGTGTAAAATTCCAGAAACAAAAATCCAAAGCCAATACCCACTACAGTGGGGAAGGACTTGCTTTTAAGGGAGAGATCCTCTGTTACCAAGTACCTGGATGTACTTGCACACTACTAGCCACAGAATTTGCCACTGTCTCTCTGGATTAAAAACCTGCATTTTTTGATAGCATGAAGGTATGTTCATTTCTCACACAAAACCAGAAAATCCTTTCTTTCTAATTGTATTGGTGTGGCAAGGAAATGCCCTCAACTGCAAAAGTGGCAGATAGTTTAAGTTAAATCTGAACACAGATTTCCTAGATGTCTTGGTTTGAGCGACACAGGACTAATTCCTTGTCTCATGCTTAGGAAAACTGCACTTTTATAAGACTCTAGTGCCTTCATTTGTGAAGGTAGGTACTTCATAGCCAGCTATGGTGTGTGGGTTTCAAGGTCTCAGTGTGCTCACCAGGTGCAGGGATGAGGATAAGCAAAACCCGGGCACTTGACCCAAGCTGGCCAACAGGATTATTTCATACCATGAACTTCACATTCAATATAAATTAGAAAGTTTGCTGCAAAGTTCTCTCTCCCTTAATGGCTGTGATCCTGAGAACTTCTTGCCCTGATGCTGGACCCCTGAGCCCTTACCTTCCTCCCGAAGTCATCGCGCTCGCAGTGTCTGACATTTGCTGTCCACTACTGGGAGTGCACAGCTTCCTACTGATAAAATTGGCTGGGTGTAATCCTTGTGTATTTTATATTGGTATCAGGATCAATACTTGTTCTTTAGTATTATTAACATTAATTAATTAGTCTTACCCTATTAAATCTATTTATATCTCAACCCTCATGTTTTCTTGTTTTTCCCCGATTCCCCTTCCCAGGTGGGGAGGGGACATCAGGTGCAGAATAACTGTCTAACTGACAACAAATTGTTGTGGGTTTCTCAAACCGTAACGCTAGACCAAACAGATATTGGAAAGCCTTGACTGAAGAGCTCCCTGCTCTTAAAAAGTGTGTTCCCATGAAGTTATTTGATTAGCCTAAGTCCCTTTTTATCTTTTTGGGGTAAATTAAACTAAGGTTATGGTTCAGAAGACAGGATGACCCAATTTTACACCCTGTCTTCCTCCCTTCGCCACTTTTCAATCCCACATTCTTGTCATGCTGTGACACTTGTTGAACCTTTTCCTGACCTCTCCAGACCAACAGGAAATTATCCAGACAAAACAAACAAACAAAATACATACTTCTGTTCCAAGGTAAAGATTTAAACTAAAGCAGGGAAGAATGCCCACTGCATTTAAGAACCAGCAGAAAAGAGAAAAGGGAGTGTGGCAGCAAGACTGCATAACAACCACAGGAGAATAGAAAGTACGACCTCCTCTTCTGTTATCATCTGGTCCAAGGTCCTTTAAAAGAGCCTCTACTCTGTGTGACTGACTATTAGATCTTCAGCCACACCTGCAGTTATTTGTAAGCCTTTTTCCTTTAATATACTAATGTGCTAATTACCCATCACCAAAGCAGCTTACTGCAGTAGTAAGCTGGTAATTTCTCTGGAAGTAAATGCAATTGTACAGTAGTTAGTATTAAAATTCCAGTTATACACTACTCATTTCAGCTTTCTGTCTCCATCTTACCTGCACAGGCCTAGGTCTCGGGCTCAGAAGAGGCTCACAAGACTTATACCTGTCAAAGGTACTAATGAAGCATCTAATCCTGAGATAATATCCTAAAACAGAGAAATGAAAATAACTTCATGTTTTGTCTA